AAAAGGGAGACTGCAGACCATGAAATTATTGGCGCAACCCTATTAGTGAATAAATGAAACATCTGGACCAAGAAAACTACTAGAGCAACCATTTTGGCCATCAGACCTATTGGTTAATAAATGGTGCCTATCTCGCATTTCCTATTCGACGCTATTTCGACAGTTTTCAATTAAAGAATATATATATCAAAAAGCCAAGTACCGCGGTAAAATACTGAAAATGCGCACCTCGGTCCTCTGTGTGAGCCGCCAGATAAACTGCAGAAATGCGAAGTATGGTAGATAGATTATTTTATAGCCGCCAACGATTCGTCTTTTAAAAACAATAGTTAACGACCTTTAAAAAGTATGATAAAATACGAAAGACGCAGTAAAGAAAACTTGACAATAAAATGACGGGTGAAACTTAGGATCCCTCACTTCTAAAATCTGTCGGACGAAAAACTGCATGTCGACATAAGGGAGAATGTCAAGGGAACGCGTACACTATAAATACAGTGTACGGTGGCTGACGAAATCGTTGCAGTTCACATAGGGTCGGTAAGGAGGGATAGCGAAGAACATCGTCTGAGCATGAAGATTCATGTTTGATCGAGGAAACTATCTTCAGGTTTGCAAAACAGGGGAACCCACCAAGGTCGTCAAAATTTCGCAGTAATTGTTGAAAAGAGAAGGGGAAGAAGTACGAACTCGAAGGTAGATCCTGCAAAGAAAAATATATAATATGCGACGTTGTTCTTTACAAAATGTTTTCGCTTACTCAGGAATTTTGGCCAGCTAGTCATACTACTTGGCCTAGCCATCACGTCTGCGTCTTCTGAAGCCCTACACCAGTATTCCGCCATAAATTTATTTTCTGTGACAAGTTCGTATTGCCTGGACTCGGGCGGCCTGCTCCCTTTGCACAATGGCAATATCTTAGAAGAAAAAACCGCAAGCCTTCTGAAGACTTAAAATATTTTGTTCACCTAGGTGTTTCCATTAGGGGAAGGCAGTGTTTGTTTTATTACACCGCAGACAACTAGAAAAATTATTTCTGAAAGTGGCGGGTTGTGTGAGTTTGGATTGTCCCTGAAAATGTTCTCCGCCCGTGGCGCTGCCGATCCGTCGACAGGTATGAAGATCTACTAAGTTCGAATTTGTAGAATCACTGGTTGACCTTGCAAACTTCTGCTGCCGATGTCTAAATATCCCTACGATTATCAAAAGTGCTGGCGAGGTTGACGCAATGTACATTGTAATGGTTTATAAACATCTTTATGCAATTGATGATGGTATTCCTTTTGTAAACATTGATCTCCTTAGATTCCATTGACCCGTTTCATTCTCTCGATGATGTGTCCGATCGCATCCGCTACATACGCGATGAACTGAGTTTGGTTTTAAAAGAAGACCTCGATCACATAAAAGTCCACTCACTTACTCAAGGCGATACGACTGCAATTTTCTACCTCCTCGAAATAATCGCCGCCATGATTGCTCTCTGGGTGTTTCCGAAACATGATTTAATAAACGAAAACTCCGAGCTACTTTCAAATTCGCCACCATTAGGTAAGTTAGTGCATCTTCTGGATGTTACCGTTTGGAAGTAAGCCTATTTAGTATTGCCTTTGAGGGAAAGGTTTTTTGTAATAATCATCGCAAGAGATGGTTTTACTCAAGGGTAGACTAAAACTGTCGACTAGGAGTTAATTGTAATCCTATATCACTACGAGCCATAAAAGTGTCAATTCGGCATAGTCGTCGCGTTACTGTTGTTACGAATACACCTTCAGTTACCTTTCTAATTGGTTAACCGTGTTATTTGTCGGCTTTTTGTAATCAAACATCTGCCAGTTATCTGCAGTTTGGTGAGGTAAATGCACGGGTCTGGCTGCGTAATCGGTAGCAGAATCACAGAACATCCTGACAATCTGACAAAGCTTCTACTAACAGGCTAAATATGAGTTTCTGAACTGCGCTGCTTTCCATTTTTAATGAAGCCGGTTGAACTTCGCCGGTCTTGACTTTTGGATAGTCTAAACTCGGAAAACGGCCCCCGATTTTGTTTAATGATCAAGCTACCCAATATATCCAAACAAAGTCCTGGTATATTTTCTCGTCATTATTGCCTATTTGAAGTCTGTATCTATCGCAATTTGCAACATCGCCAAATTCCCGAAAGTGTGAATTGTTCGTCCCTTTCCGTTTTATTGTTACCGTCAACTAAATTACGAGCCTGTTTTGTTCAATCGGGTGCATGCCAGAAAGGCTGTAGTAACCCAACATTTCAGTACGCTTTTAAACTTTTCCGTGTTGGGTAGGATTGACTGCTAGGGGTGTGATGTCTAGGCCATTCATTTGCTATTTGAGGTTGTGTCCAGTTACTCTTTATTCTCCAATGAACGGGTTGCTGCATCAACGTTAGTCCATCTCGTTTGGGGCGAGGTCAGCATACAGGAATTGGAGTGCTTCTGGG